TCGGTGAGCGAGATGGGCGAGAGGATGAACGGCGGGGCGGTCAGCGAGGAGAGGTCGCCCGAGAAGGAGGCGATGCTGCGGTGAGGGCGGGGGCGGGGTCAGTGGTCGGGCGTGACGTAGACGAGATGGGGACGGGGACGTACGACTTGAGGAACGACGCCCAGCTGCCCTTTTGCGCTGCGGGCACGGCCTGCAGCGGCGAAGGCGACGACGACGAGACATCGCGGGCATCGCGATCACACGCATCCATGTACGCGCGAAAAACGCAGAGAGTGACAGAGCGTGCAGAGACACCGACAGAGATACGACACGATGTGCTGATCAGCAACACACTACGCTCGACAAGGGACCGAACCGACCTCGCCCATCTCGTGGGGTGTCTCCGACATCGTGCGTCGTGCGTCGAGCTTGGGGCCTTAGGCGTTGGGTGTTGAGTGTTGATCAGCGACAAGCGTGCGCTGTGCGTAAAGCGTCGAGCTTGGACTTGAACGCAGGTGTGGAAGAGCGAGTGACGGCGTGCGCTGCTGGTGCGGCGGTTGTATGCGCGTATATGCGGCGCGCAGAAAATGGGACGATGGCGGGCGTCGAGGGGGAAGCGTGCGCGAGCCTGCTGCGGCCGTCACACCACCGCCCGCCGCGCTCTAGCGCCCGTCGACGTAACACCCATCGCTATCGATCTTTGCCGCCGGCCGCCTGCGCTGTGTGCATGGCGACCACCAACCTCGAACACGGCATCGATCAGGGCATAGAGCAGGGATGTGGACGGATTACAACACTGCATTCGGGATCCCGTGCGCGCGACACCCGCCCGTAGCAGTAGAGTAGACTATATGCGTATCATAGTACAAACACGAGACGGACCGGTCGGCGGGCGGGGGCAGGGGCGACACTCGTACATACACAGGCAGGCGGGGGCGGGGGCGGGGCACAAGCGTCCGGCCGTCGTGCAGAGGCGTATAGTATAAGATACCGGAATCACAAACGACGACAAGGAGACACAGACAGAGAGACAGGAACGGGAATGGGAACGGGAACGGGAAGGAGCGGACGCGCAGAATCGAGAAGAGACCAGTCGGTACAACAGAACAGCCCAGGGGCCGCTGTCCGCGCGGGGTACAGCACAGCGTGCGGCGCACGGACGCCTACTCGTCGTCGTCCTCCTCGCCGTCGCCGCTGCCGCTGTCCACCTTCTTGTTCTGTGCGGACACACCATATGAGCACGGCGCGCACGCATACACACAGGGGCGGCACTCACGTCGTAGTCCTTCTTCTCCTTCTCCGCGCGCTCCTTGTCCCGCGCGGCCTGCTCGATGTAGGGCTGTGTGACGCGCGGTGTCAGTGCCAATGTCGGAGCAAATTAGGGGACGACGCGGACGCACCTTCTTTTCCTCGTCGTCGAGCTCCTTCCACCTCGCGCCGAGCAGCTTGCCGATCTCACCTACACACACAGACACACGAAAGCACGCATACACCCGGTCAGCACCCCTCGAGTCCCCGAGCCCGCACACAACGAACAGCGAACACGCACCGAAGCTCGCGTCCGGGTTCTCCGCCTTCACGCGCTCCCGCCAGTCCTGGCTGAAGAACATGTACGCGCTCAGCGCGCGCTTCGGCGCGTTGCGGTCCTTCTTGCCCTTGCTCCCCTTCGTCGCCTTCTCGGCCTTCTCGCTGGCCTTGCGCTGTCGGCGGAGAACAGAGCCGCAGTGAGCACGGTGCAGCCCTCGAGAGAGGAACAAGCGGAGGGAGGGAGGGCAGCGTGCCTCCGAGCGGGGTGCGAGGCACGGACGCGGCAGGGCGGAGGCGATCGTGCTTGATCAGCCGCATCGACGCCCAGGGCCCCGCGCACAGCCCCGCACGGCGCCGCCCCGCCCACAGGCAGCCTGGGCAGCAGCCGCACCCGCACGCCCAGCGGACACGCTACCCCAGCGGGCACCCGCGCATACACGCACCTTGGTCGCCTTCGTGGTCTCCTTCGGCATCTGCAACAACGAACACCGCGTCAGCACCCCATCCGACACGTCCCGCGCCCCTCGAACGAAGTCTGCACGCCGTGGAAACGCGTCCGACACGCGCGGCGGCCGCGCGCCAGGGCGCGTCTCGACACGCGCCCGCCGCTTCAGGCTGGCTGGCTGGCGGGGCCGCCGCCGCTGGACGACGGGCCCGACGCCGACGGCGCACGACAGGGGCGACAAACGCACCTTCGTTACAGTCCACTGATGATACGGCGGTCGGGGCTGGGGGACAGAGGCGTCGAGCACGGTGCGGTGTGTGCGTGTGCGCGCGCGGGCGGGTGGGCAGGGCTATAGGGCAAGGCTTTGGCTGGCTGGCAGAGGCAGGCTCAGGCTGTGGGTGGGCTGCCCCCTCTGCGGCCGCGCCTTTTGCTGGCTGGTGAGAACCGCGGCTGAGTCAGCGGCACGCGCGCCGGCGCGTGGATGCACGGACCACGTCGCAGGCGTGGGGTTAGGGTTTGGAATTCGACGAGTAACTAGTGACTACTGGCGGTACTACAGGGTTTGTGGCTACGGTGCGAGGACACGGTGGGTCCGTAGACACGTATTACGACGACGGTAAACACCCCAACACGCTCCCCAACCTCTCCAACACCCCCGCCTGCGCGCCCTTCCCCGCATCGAGCTTCGTGCGCGCGTCGACGGCGCTCACGCTCGCGAAGCACCCGCCCGGCGTCGTCACCACGTCGTTCTCCGCCGGGAGCCTGCCGCCGTTCCCGCACGTGTCGACGTCGACGGGGAGCGGGAGGAGCAGGGGGAAGACGCGCGTGAGGACGAAGGCGGCGGAGGCGGGCGTGCAGGGCGGCGAGGCGGAGGCGTTCGAATTCAGGGAGGGGAAGTTCACGTTGAGGAAGGTGTGCGCCGGTAACAGCGGTGAGGACGGAGAGGAGGCGGCGAGGAGCGCTTGGACGAGGCGCAGTGCGAGCGCGGCGTTCCCCTGCGCGGCCGAGACCGTGGAAGAGGTCGGGGTGTCGGTGAGCGCGGTCCACGCCTCGTGCGCGGTGCCCGTGCCGGAGAAGGCGATGGCAGGGAGGCCGGAGGCAGAGGCCGCGGCCGCTGCACCGCTGTCGGTAGGAGTATAGAGCATATCAGTATCAATCAGCGTCGACGTTGCTTAGCGGCACCGTGAATCGTGGACGACAGCGCAAGGGAAGGGAGGGGAGGGGGCGCGAGAGAGGCGAAAGGGGCGGTACGCACATCGTGCCGGAGCCGAAGACGGAGAACTCGGTGTTGTCTGTGTGTATGCAGGCACGGGTCAGCGCTGCGTATAATGTGCATCGTGATGTGCGTGGGCGGGACGGACGGCAGGGGTGTCTCGTGAAGGACGAAGGGGCGGGGTGCACTCACGTCCGACGTTTGGGCCGCTCACGACGAGGTCCGGCGGCGCCCCGTCGAAGAATTGAGGGGCGAGGGTCTGGATGCCGAACCTGACTGAGTCCACGCTGTCGTCGTCGACGTCCAAGTACTCAGCACACACACATGCACGCCGAGCAGGTATAGGCGCACTCACGGGAAGCCGTTCACGTAGTTCAATCGCGCTACAATATACATCAAGCAACGTACGACGCCAATGAGCCAATGAGCCAACGAGCCAAGATGCGCGAACGGGCGAAAGGAGACGCGACGCACGGTCACTCGCGTTGAAGCCCTCGGCGGGCGACCCGGCGGGGCACGAGGCGAACTCGCACGGGACGGCGAGCGGGGAGGGGGTCGACGTCGCGGAGCCCGTCCCGGACTGGTCCTGCGCGGGCGCGGCGAGCACGACCTGCACCCAATCATCCAATGGCACACTGAGCGTCAGCGCGTCCAAGTCAGCACTGCGCGACACGACGGACGGACGCACGTTGAAGCCCGCGCCCGCGAGCGCGTCGACCTGCGCGCGGACCTGCGCGACGGCCCACCCGTCGTCGTTCGTCAGCACGATGTTCTTGCCCGTGCCCGTGCCCGTGCTTTGGGCGGGGACGCTCGTTACAGTGGTGCCGAAGAGCGCGAGGAACGCCAGCGCGGCGGTCTTCATCGCGGCGGCGAGGGATATCGAGACGGATGCGGATGCGGGTGCGGATGCGGCGGGCCACGTCCAGCTGGGTACCGGTGGTATCTCTAGCCCGGGGAGCCTTGCCAGTGAGCGTATTCCTGAAATCGCGGTCGCGGTCGCGGGCACGGGCGGGAGGGGCGCGGTGGGGGCGAGGGCGAGGGCGAGGGCGAGCATCGCGGAGACGGAGATGTGGTGCGTATATGTATGGTATGGTATAGTACCGCTACGTGCCCGGGAACCGGGATGCGACTGGGATATCCGGGTCGATGATGTCAGGTCGCAGGTGTGCGTGCGTGGGCGTGGGCGTGGTGGGCGAGCGCGACGTCCGCGTCAGGCGCGCTTCAGCCTGAGCTCGGGCTTAGGGACACGGCGCGTGCGGCGCGGCGCACGTTGGCGGCGCGCGGGCGAGGCGGGTGTGTCGTCGTCATTGTTATTGTTATTGGCGAGGATGCCAATATCGATCGCGTGCATTGTACATTGTGCAGAAGCGGGTGCTATGACACTGTACACTGTACAGAAGCGTCGACGAATCCGTCGCGCTGCTCGCAAGTGCTGCGAGATTCAGACGGAACGCAGCACGTGGACGGGCACTTGGTGTTGGGACGAACGTGCCCGCCGGTCAGGTACGCCGTATGCTGCATGCAGAGCTTAAGAGACGGCGAGGGGCACTGGACGGGCTGAGGAGGACGGATGCGCACCCATGGTGCCAGGAAGAGTCCCGTTGCCGCGACGCAGGACCCGCCTCTCCACACCGGTCCGAAGCATCTGACACTCGTTCAGGTTCTCGACCTCAAAGTTCCACAACAGAGAAGGAGACACCGAAACAAGGAAGAAAAATGACATATGGCATTTCTCATCCATAGCCAGTATCTACACCAAAAATTTAAAAGTTAAAACACAAGATTTAAAATTTAAATCGAGAAAAGATACTTTTCGGGAGATTGAAGACGAAAAAGCGACACCAGCAGGATTCGAACCTGCGCCCTCGAAGAGGAGTTGATGGCGAGAACCATTCGAATCAACCGCCGTAACCACTTGGCTATAGTGCCTTGAAGGCGACAGCAGAACGTCCATCCATGATCAGGGTGCGGACCCCTAAAAGCCTAACATCGGCTTGAATGCCTGTATGGCTGTCTAGTCTAAGTATTCGTCTGCTGTCTCCTCAGCTACATCCGTAGATCGTCCCGCCCGCCTCGCTCCCTTGGTCGCCCGCCACCGCTCGTTCAACACCTCCACAGGCTCCATGCGCCCTCGCTCCAGCACAGGCACGTACTTCGCCCCGCGCCGCTCCTTGCCCCCGCCCACCGGCACCCCAAACACCGCCCCAGGTTTGTTATTGATATTGTTAAGGCCGTCCCCAAGCGGCACCGGGAGGTATCGCGGGGGCGGGGCGTGGTGCCGCCCCGCGGCGCGCAGGAACTGGCCCGCCATCGCCGCGCGGATGAGCGCCTGCTCGTACGCCGCGCGCGACGACGCGAACACGGTGCTCGCGCCCGCCGAAGACTTCGCCCCGTCCGTATCCGCGCCGAAGCCCTGCCCGTCGACCCGCCACTGCACGTCTTCGTCCGCGTACGCACAGTCCCACAGCATCAGCGGGCGCGCGTCGGCCATCTGGTACAGCGGCTTCGTCGGGACGACCGGGGGCGCGGGCTCGTCTGCGCGGAAGGGCGGGTGCGGGGAGGAGGGGGAGACGTTGAGCAGCGCGGAGAGGAGCGCGGGGGGCTCGAGGCGCGTGCCGATGAGGAGGAGGAGCGCCATGATGTGCCGGACCTGGTTGTAGAGGAAGGCGGTGCCGACGAGGTCGAGGACGTACACCTGCCCCGGCCCGTCGTCGTCGTCGTCCGCGGGAGACAGCCCGGGTACAACGTTGATATCGGCGCGGAGGATCCGGCGGCGGAACGTCGTGAGCTGCTTCCCCGGATCGAGCTTGCACAGGTTCCGAAAATCGTGCTCCCCGACGAGGCGCGCCGCGCCGTCGCGCATCGCGTCAATATCGAGTCCACGCGACGTGAAGAAGTACTTGTAGTGCCGGTGCGTGCAGGCGAAGCGCGCGGAGAAGGCGGGCGCGACGGGCGACCAGGCGAGCGCGCGGATGGAGGGCGGGAGGACGTTGTTGAGGGTGTTGATGTATTTGAGCTCGGGCGCGGAGGCGGGGGTGGACGAAGTGGGGGGAGGGAGGAGGTTGGTGTTGGAGGGCGGCTCGTCCCATGTGCTCAGTGCCCCGAAGTCGCCCTCGAGGCCACCCAGAGTCTCCATCCCGTCGGTCGCGTCTGAAGGAGCCTCCGCTGACTCCGGTGCAGGCTTTGGGACGCTGGGCCCCGCCGCCTGCTCTGGCTGCTGCTCCGTCGGCAGCGCACTGCGGATCCAGAAGCTCACGACCTGCCCCGCCGCGCTCACGCCCGCGTCGGTCCGGCCACACTTCTCCCAGCCGGCGCCCTCGAAGCCGCCGGCGGGGTCGACGAGGCGCGTGAAGACGAGCGCGCCCCAGAGGACCTCCTCCACCGTCGGGAGGGGCGTGGGGCTGTTCTGGGCGGCGAGCCCGCTGTAGAGGGCGCCGTCGTAGGAGAACTTGAGCGCGATCTTGCGGCGGGGGTGCGCGGCGAAGTCGAAGGGTTTTTGGGCCGCGGCGCGGTTCGGGTGGGGGTGTGCCGGGCGAGGGTAGGAGGGGTTTCTCGATTTTACGAGCTTTTGATTCGACGCCTCGAGCTTGCGGATGTAGGCGATGAGGTGCTCTTTGGACCAGTCGGCGAGGTCGGCGGCGGGGTGCATGGTGGTCGACCGGGGGAAGGCTGCTGCGATGGAACGCCACGGACGCGGTCCGCTCATGCACTACGAGAGATATGCATATCAGTTTTGTCTCACAATGGATTAGTTGGCGCAGACCGACCTGTTGTCGACGCAGCTCGTGGACGAAGCGCGATGCGGCAAAGTTTGCGCGCCTGCCGCACGTGGCTCAATATCCGCTCGCCATTTTCTTTTTGGTGTGACTCGCAGGCTCGTCTCGTCTTTCCGACCCATCGATTGCAGGCGGCGCACAAAATCGACTCGACAGCCGCACGCCCCGGACCCAGCCACGACGCACCTCTCCACCAGACTGTATCGAGTGGCTCGTCCGCCGCGTTGTACCATACTCTTGGCCTCCTCCGCCTTTGCGCCCTTGGCTCTACGACCGCGCACGCATCGACACACACTCTTCACAACATATAGAATGGCCTCTACCGCACCAGCGTCGACGGGCCCCATCGAGCTCGCCCAGGTGCGTCGCCCGTCCCTCATCAACGATCCCCACTGACCGCCACCCGCAGACCGCGAAGCGCGACTCCCTCAAGGAGCTCGAGCAAAAGTACCAGGCGCGATGGGAGCAGGAGCGCATCTTCGAGGTCGACGCGCCGACGCTCGAGGAGACGGAGGGCCTCTCGCCCGCCGAGATCCAGGAAAAGTACCCAAAGTGGTTCGGGAACTTCCCCTACCCGTACATGAACGGCTCGCTGCACCTCGGCCACGCCTTCACGATCTCCAAGATCGAGTTCGCGGCGGGCTTCGAGCGCATGCGCGGCAAGCGCGTCTTGTTCCCCCACGGCTTCCACTGCACGGGCATGCCCATCAAGGTGCGTCTGTATCAGATATACTGGTGTGCCGTGTTGGCTTATGCGCGGCGCAGGCGGCTTCAGACAAAATCATCCGCGAGATGGAGCTGTTTGGCGAAAACTTTGAAAAGTTCGTACCAGAAGAAGAGGCCGCCCACCCGCACGAGCACGCCCCGCCCACCGCGACGGAGGACGACCCCCAGCACGGCCGCGTCGACAAGGCCAAGAAGGGCAAGGTCGCCGCCAAAGCCACCGGGCTCAAGTACCAGTTCCAGATCATGGAGTCCATCGGCATCCCGCGCACCGACATCAAGCAGTTCGCGGACCCGTACTTCTGGCTCGAGTACTTCCCCCCCATCTGCAAGGCCGACCACGCCGCGTTCGGCTCGCGCATCGACTGGCGCCGCTCGTTCATCACGACCGACGCGAACCCGTACTACGACGCGTTCGTGCGCTGGCAGACGAACCGCCTGCACGACCTCGGGAAGATCAGGTTCGGGGAGCGCTATACGATATACAGCCCGAAGGACGGCCAGCCGTGCATGGACCACGACCGCTCGGAGGGCGAGGCGCTCGGCCCGCAGGAGTACACGGGCGTGAAGATGGAGGTCGTGCAGTGGGGCGCGGCCGCGCAGGATCTGGGGCAGAAGCTCGGCGGCCGGAAGGTGTTCCTCGTCGCGGCGACGCTCCGCCCGGAGACGATGTACGGGCAGACGAACTGCTTCGTCGGCCCCGCGCTCAAGTACGGCGTGTGGGCGGTGAACGACACGGAGGCGTTCGTGTGCACGCACCGCGCGGCGCGCAACATGCTCTACCAGGGCGTGTTCACGCCGAAGGGCGCGGTGAAGGACGTTGAGGAGCGCAGGCTCGCCGAGGTCGACGGCGCGCTGCTCGTCGGCTCGAAGATCCGCGCGCCGTTCGCGGTGCACCCCGAGGTGTACGTCCTGCCCATGGAGACCGTGCTCGCGACCAAGGTGCGTCCCGTCCGCTGTCTGTCCCGCCGACGCCCCCTTCTCATTCTCATTCTCATTCTGACGCACGCGCGCACGCACCCGTGTAGGGCACCGGCGTCGTGACGTCCGTGCCGTCCGACTCGCCCGACGACTACGCGACGCTCATGGAGCTGCGCAAGAAGCCCGCGCACTACCGCATCGACCCCGCCTGGGCCGCGCGCGACCCCGTGCCCGTCATCGCGACGCCCACGTACGGGCACATGACCGCGCCCGCGCTCGTCGCGCAGCTCAAGATCGCGTCGCCGCGCGACGCGAAGCCGCTCGCGGAGGCGAAGGAGCTCGCGTACAGGGAGGGGTTCTATAGCGGGACGATGCTCGTGGGGGAGTGGCGGGGCGAGAGCGTGCAGGAGGCGAAGGGGAAGGTAAGGGAGGCGATGGTGCGGGAGGGGCTGGCGCTGCCGTATGCGGAGCCCGAGGGGCTGATTATTTCGAGGAGCGCGGACGAGTGTGTGGTGGCGCTCATGGACCAGTGGTACCTCGACTACGGCGAGCCGGCGTGGCGCGCGCAGGCGGAGAAGTACGTCGCGTTCCATTTGTTCGTGTATGGGTAGGGACGGGTGCTGATCGTGTGCGATTTCGTAGGCTGGTGGCGCAGATGGAGACGTACAACGTCGAGACGCGGAACGGCTTCGAGGGCGTGCTGGCGTGGCTGAACAAGTGGGCGTGCGCGCGCACGTACGGCCTCGGCTCGAAGCTGCCCTGGGACCACCACTTCCTCGTCGAGAGCCTGAGCGACTCGACGATCTACATGGCGTACTACACCGTCGCGCACTTCCTGCACAGTGAGTCTGCCGTATACACTACCTGCTTCGTCTCTCATAACTCCCGCAGGCACGATCAACGGTAGCCAGCGCGGCCTGCTCGACATCGCGCCCGAGCAGATGACGGACGACGTCTGGGAGTACATCTTCCGCGACGGGCCCTGGCCGGCCGCCGCGCCGCTCCCCAAAGACAAAGCCGACGTGATGAAGCGCTCGTTCGCGTACTTCTACCCGTTCGACATCCGCTCGTCGGGGAAGGACCTGATCAACAACCACCTCACGTTCTGCATCTACGTGCACGCGGCGCTGTTCCCCGAGGCGCGCTGGCCGCGGAGCATGCGCGCGAACGGGCACCTGATGCTCAACGGGCAGAAGATGTCGAAGAGCAAGGGCAACACGCTCACGATGCGCCAGGGGATCGACAAGTTCGGCGCGGGCGCGATGCGGCTGTGTTTGGCGGACGCGGGGGACGGGATCGAGGACGCGAACTTTGATGAGAAGACGGCGAATGCGAATATTTTGAGGCTGCATACGCTGATTGGGTGGTGTGAGGAGATGGTGCAGGCGCAGGCGCAGGCGAAGCTGAGGACGGGGGAGCGCGTGTACCACGACGAGGTCTTTGAGACGGAGATCAACCAGCTCATCAACACGACGTACGAGCACTACCAAGCGTGAGCCCCCTTCTCCC